ACAAAACAAAAAAAGCTACAAAAACAATCGACCAAGCAAACCTTTTCTATGATTATGTATATTCACCAAAGTGTATAAATGTCTATATACTTTTATTATTATGCTATTATAGAGAGAAATATGGATGGAACATTGTAGGCTGTCAACATGGCTAAGTGGGTTGTGTCATGGGCCTGGGTTTGACAGAAAGGTGCTCTCAGAACAGAAGAGAGGAGAAGAAACAGAGGAGAAGGAAAAGGACTTCACTTTGAGGAAGCCCAAGGATATAAGACACAGTTGCATTTATGTATTTCTGTACAATTATGTCCAAAGTCAGTTAAGAGTAATAAAATGCTAGAAAAATTAAAAATGGTATTGACTTCCAGCTGCAATGGTATGTGCTCCTTTGATAGTGTGCTCTGCAGGCTGAGGCCATGTTCCTTTTCCAGTCTAAGGCCTGGGCGTGGTGGCGTGTCCCTGTATTCCGAAAGGCCAGGGGAGGCTGAGGCAGGAGAAACGTGAGCTCAAAGCTGGTCCTGGCAACACGGCAGGCTGGGCGTTGTGGTGCATGCCTGAGGCCCCGGCTGCTCAGGATCGTGACACAGTGAGAACCTGTCTTCAGAAATGGTATTAAGTTTTTCCCGATTATCTCATAAAATGCCCTTTTTCTAACTGTATAGAGGAGGAGGCTGCTGATCTGATTTACCAAAGGCTTCTGATAGGCCACGGCTATCTGATTCCAAAGCCCACATTGTTTTCCTGAAAGTATGACGCATAGCCAGGATGGAGAAAACATCCAAGCGTCACTGCCGTACAACAGAGACGTGAAATCCTCCGTCCCCAGGATCCTGCCATTAGAGTTAGGGAAAGCAGCCCTCTAGACATCACTCTCCACAACTTTCTGTTTACTGCGTCTTGCCAAATATGCCAACCTCGAGGTGTTGGGGTGTGGGGTTCGGACGCTGCACCCCGAAGGACGGGATTATTTCTCCTTTCAATCATTCTGAACAACAGATGATCCCAGGCAGGATACGAGACTGGTCTTAGGGCTGAGGGAGGCGGAGCAGGACCAGCCTTGGAAGGCTCAAGAGGGTTCCTATGGTGGGAACCACTGCAGACAGCCAGCCCGCCAAAATGTGGACAGCGAGTAGGTGGTATTTATAGCAACCTCTGTCCTCCGAAAGAGCTGTCCCCCAAACGGGGGAAGGAAATTAGGACTGGCCCCTTAGACAAGAGGAAGGCTGCGTCCCTACCCTGAGGCCAGAGGGCAGAGCTGCTTCTGCTACCTCTGTCCTCTGAAAGAGCTGTCCCCCAAACAGCAGTGAAGGAAATTAGGACTGGCCCCTTAGACAGGAGGAAGGCGGCGTCCCCACCCTGAGGCCAGAGGGCAGAGCTGCTTCTGCACAGAGCTCGTGGCCGACTTCACGCCTTCTCTGGACAAGGTCACCTGATGCCTTGGCTGGGCCTTTGGTCAACATCCATTGGCTTCTGTGCACAGCAGGGACTGACCTACAGGACGGTCACAGGCAGCCATGGCAGGAGGCCTCTTCTGAATGTGGCATGGGCTGAAGAGCACCCCCTTTCTCTTGAGAAGATCCACCCCTTTCTCTCGAGGAGACAGTGAGGTGAACAAACCTGCACCAGTCACCAAGGGACAGTAAAGAGGGTCCTGAAGGCCCTCATTCAGCCAGCGCAAGGGCTGGTGCTTCTCCTAGCTGTCCAGAGGGTCGCTGCTCTGGAAGACACCGAGTCCCTGTGCCAAGGCCTGTGGCGAAGCCACCCTGGAGGCAGCCAGCAGAAACTAGTTATCCACAGACAGGGTCAGCTTCAAAGGACACAGCCAGGGTCACACTCTTCGGGAGGGTGAAGCAAGGGTGTCTGGGAGGGCTGATTGCAGAGAAGGGCTCTCAGACTCTTTCTTCTAATCTAGAGGGGGAGGGAGAGAGTGCTAGGCGCTCCTCGGCTTCTGCTTTTAGTGTTAAGGAAGGGTGACTTGACTTTGCCATGGAGACAGACTTATATCCCCAACACAGCGCTGATCCTGTTGCTCCCCAGCTCAAAATCCACCGATAGCTTCCCTTGGGATGAAGCCCAACTCTGACCCAAGAGAGTGTAGCGCTGTCTGGCAGCTATAGGGTGTCACCTAGCTCCTGCCCCTGGTCCCCAGCCCTTGGCACAAGCTTCTGTTTCTGCTGAGAGAACTTCCTGGGAACACTTCTGACCCAGTCACTGGGGCAGTTCCTAACCCCGCCTCCCCAGAGAGTCAGCTTAAAAGGCCACCTCCCCTGGGAAGACTGCCCTGGTGGCCCTCCTCCTGCTCGGTGTCCCTGTATCCATGGCATTCCTCACTCTCATGTGTACATGGCTCGGAGATTCTGCCCCGCCTGCTCCCAGTCGGTGTTCAGGACACAGTCCGCGTCTTAGTACCTGTCGGGTGTCTGGATGAGAGGGTGCAGGACTTTACACAAAGGCGCCAGATTCTGTAACCTTCCTTTCTGCATTCAGCAGTGCCATAGGTTTGTGTCCCTAACTTTAACAGGTCCCCGGAAATAGAGTGAGATTGCTGCATCAAGCACCTGCCGTCCAGCCCTCATCCGCTCCATCCCTTCTGCGTTCTGCTCCTGGAACACGCCTGCCTCTTTATCCATGGTGTCTAGCACACAGTAGGTGCTCCATAAATGCTTACTAACTTGTCAGAGTGAGAGCTTCACGGCCTTCCCCCTTCTTTTCCTGCTGTATTTCATGCCTGTCTTAGTGAATTCCTGCCTCCTCGCTGAGGTTCTTCTGAAACAGGACCTCTACAGAGCTAGGTCCGCCCCTCCCAGACTGAGTCGGGCCTCCCTCCGTGGGAGCCCTGCGCCTCGCTCCCACCTTCTCACTGCTCTTAGTGTGTGCAGCAGGCCTGTGTTCACAAGCCTGCTCTCCGACTCCACTCGGGCTGTCCCTGGTCTGGGGCCGTGACCTCTTCCAGTCGTTTTCCTGCCATCTAGCACAGCCCCTGTCACCTCACTGATGTCCACCTAGCCCCATAAATGGATGAAGGAGTGAAGGAGGAGTGAATGAAGGAAGTGTACAGTTTCCCTCTCACAGAAACATGTAAGGAGCCAGGCAGTGGCACAGTGGTAAGGTAACAGGACCCACACGGAAGGGGCCTGGGTCCGAGTCCCAGGGTCTTCCAGAGAATGTGCGTTACAAACATGAGACTCGGGTGGGTGTGAAGACCTTGTGGGCGTAATTACCTTTATTTCTCTTAGAGAAGAAATAAATAAAGGAGGGACCAGCAGAGGGTGTGGTGGCTAAGGCTCTGGATTCCCACATGGCCAACTGTAGTTCGAGTCCTGGCTTGAAAACCATGACCAATAAATCAATTAATTTAAAAAAAAGAAAGAGGAGCCAGGAGACGGCACAGTCATTCTGATGCTGGACTCCCATGTGGCTGACTGTGGTTCAAGTACCAGACCCAGTGACTCGAAACTCACGCCAGGTGCATGTGCATGCATACCTAAGATCCCGGGAGGAGAGGAGAAGAGAAGGAATTGCAGTGTGGCCATCCCTCCCGGGCGGTGATTTCTCACTTTTCCTCTTACTGTCTCTGTCTTGGTCTCTCTCTCCAGTGAGTGCACATGCCCTATGAGGGGGAAAAAAAAAAACTGAAAAATGAATGAGCAGGTAAGTCTTCAAGATCAGTTGGAATTCATCCCAATTTGCTGCTTCGGACTTGCCAACCCTTGTCACACGCGGAGTCAGAGAAGTCATCCCAGCACGCGGGGAATAGGTAGAAGCCTATTTTGGAGGTGACCAAACTGAAGTCTTAGACACGCAGGTCACATAGCAAACTACATCACAGGGAGGTCGACCACCGTATTGAGATGATACGCTGGCATTCCAAGGGTCGCGAGTCATCAGGAGCTCACCCCTATTCTGATGCCACATGATGCGCGTTTTTTACTTCCTGAACAATATAGCGACGATCCCTTCAAGCCCGCTAGCATTTGATCATTTATAAAGTCATGTTGAAAAGACTTCCGAACTAGCTATTTGTGGTTAAGTCATTTGCCAGAATCATTCAGCTTTTAAATGACGGATCCAGGGCCAGGACTCAAGCCAACCGGTTCCACATCCAGCACACTTCCCAGGATCCACGGTCTGCCTCTGACATCGTCGGACGTGGTGGGAACGTATGAATGGTAGGCTCCCTCACGGAAGACACTATCATTTCTAATCAATACCGTCACTTCCTACTTCTAAGAATTCTCTGAAGGAAACATTGACTAGACTTGTCGAACGTGTGAGAGAGCTGATAAGATCTAGCCCGGCTGCGAGGAGGAACCAGACTGCGGTGTAGCACGTCAGTGACACTGCGAGAGTGCTTTAGGGCACTCAAAAGTGTGGGTGTGAACAAAATAAGCACATTTAACATGCACAGTGTCTGCGTAGAGCTTGGCTTCAATAAATATATGCTGAGGCCCGCAAGTGGCGGAGTTGTTGGGGTGCTGGACTCCCACATGGTCAATCGTGGTTCACGTCCCGATCCTGGCAGCTTGAAACTCACTCCAGGCGCATGTGCGTGTGTACCCAACATCCTGAGAGGAGAAGAGATTGAGGCATGTCTATCACCCCAGGAGGGTGATTTCTTGCTTTCTGTCTCTCTGGCAAGCGCATGCGTCCTAAAGCAAAAAATCTCTCTTTAAAGAATGTGCCAAATATGCCAATGAATTAATATGCTTTGTGTTTTAAAATTCTCTTACAGCGAATATGCATTTAGCCAATATTTCCATAGAATGACTTAGAAAATTGACCTATGTCTCCAAACAACCAAATCTTTTGATTCATGTTTTTACTCAATAAAGACACAGCAGTGAGCAAAGCAGGGCCAGCTGGTGGCAGGCAAGGTAAGGTGGTTAAATCCCACATGGCTAGCTGCATAGTTTGAGTCCTGGACCAGGCGGTTTGTAAAAAGCACAGGGTGTGTGGGCATGCCCAAAATCTGGAGAGGAGCGTGGAAGAGAAGGGGTTGCAGCATGGCTGATGAACTTGCCTTCAACTTTGCTGCAAACAGATTTAAAACTGTAAGTAGGATACTGACAGGGACAAGTCCCTTGCCAAGATTTGAACGGTGCCAAAAATATCCCTTACCAAATGGCTTCCTTAGCCTATACATTTCCCCCATCTCTATTTGACGAGAGAGCATCCAAGAAAAGAATCGAGAAAGGGAGAAGCTGCATAGAGACCTTGATGGCAGTGGGATGGGCTGAGCAGAGAAGCCGAGCATCCTAGCTCCCCACTGGATGCAACTTTGAGGAGGAAAAGATTCCTTCCTTTTATGGCATGAGATCCCCCGCCTCCGCCTGACGGGCAGGTTCCTCCAGCTGTGTCCCCAGCTGTGTCCCCAGCCTGGTCTCCAGCCTTTTCCCCCTTACATTTCCGTGGGCAGCTGCTGTTCCAGCCAGATGTTCTTCTTGCTCACTAGAACTGATAGCGTCTCCCCCTCGCTCCCCTCCAGCCTTGCCCTTGCAATGTCCTTCTGCTACTCTGGTTATTACTCTGTTCAAGTCCCGCCTCTTCCCTGAGGCCTTCTCTAACTTCTCCAGTTCAATCTGCTGGGGCTCAGGGCTTGGAATGCTCAGTGTAGGATGTCTGAGAGGGACAGGCTCTCACAGGTTATTATCTATAACTCTTTCATTTTATACGGGAGGAAGGACAGGCACAGAGTAAGAACAAAATTTGCCTGAGAACACGCAACCAGTAAGTGGAAAAACTGGGACTTCGTCTCGCCGAGTCTTGGCCTGTGCCCATCTTACACTATTAAGACAGTTCATACTATTACATTCATTTGCCATGTAATAAGAATAGTTGGTGTAATGGCTATGTTGCTGGACTCCCATGTAGTTGAATGCAGTTCAAGACCCGGGCCCGGTGGCTTAAACTCACACCAGGTGTGTGTGTGTGCTTGCCCAAAATCCCAAGAGGAGAATAGAGGAGAAGGGATTGCAGTGTGGCCATCTCCCCTGGGGGGTGATTTCTCGCTTTCTGTCTCTCTCTGTCTTTCTGGTGAGTACATGTGCCCTATAGCAAATAATAATAAAAAAAAAAAAGCAAAAACAAAAAACACCTCTCCAAAAAAAGAAAGAATAGTAGCCAGGGCCAGCAGACAGCGTGGCAGTTAAGGCACTGGACTCCCACACGACTGACTGTAATTTAAGTCACACCCAGCAGCATGCTTTCTCTCTCTCTCTCTCTCTGGTCAAATTAAAAATAAATAAATAAATTTATTTATTTAAATAAATAATTCTAAAAAAAACAAAACCAAAAACAGGAGCCAAAATTTCACACTACATTTCCCTCCTCTCCCATGCTTGAAACCCAGGTTGGGACTGGAGCAGAATATAAAAGACTTCCTTATGAGCCAGAGACCTTAAACCTGTACACCCCCTCCGCAGAACATCTTATTTTACTACTGAAATGGACTCTGTGGTATAATTTCACAGATGAGTAAGTAGAGCTCACCATGCCCAAGGTCACATAGCCAATACATGGTTAGTGTCTGTCCCCTCCAATAACTCACAAGCCGACCTAAGGCCCGCAGGGATTATTTCTGTTATTCGGCATTGTGTCACCAAGCATAATTCTACCTGTTGAATGAATAAATGAAAGCATGAAAGAAACCATGCCTGGAACCCCGTCAGCTTCTAACAGATGAGAGGGAGCTTGCTATTAGGCGTACTGGTCCCATATGCTGGGTGCTGTCTGAGTCGTCCCTGACTTGGCCCTCACAAAAATCCCAAGAGAAAAACCAAAGCTCGAGAGGTGAATTCACTTGCCCAAGGCCACACAGCTAGAACGGGATGGAACTAGACCTGTAATGAAGTTTCTCCGCCTCTCCTGGAAGTGTCTTCATTCCCACCGTTAACTGCCTGTCCAGCAGTGCTCCTGGCAGGAGTGCTCCTCTGACTCCCAGTGGGCTGGCCTCCTCTGCGTCTAATCCATGAAGGCCCCACTTTGTTTAGAGGCCAAAGTACTAAATGGAATATTACAGGGCAACCTTTGCCATCAAAGAGCCGCTCTAAGGGCAGGAGGTTTAAACTGGTTCCTCGTTTCACAATAAGGCGGGCTTTATGGAAAGAAGTTATCCCTGTATTCTAATGACCAACCACTTTAACTACAGTTTTCCTCTACGCGTGCTTGGTAGGTTTTTAGTTAGTCATGATGATAAACCACCTACTTACACACGGTGGCCCGAGGACTAGTAAACCCTCTCCAAACTGACTTCCTTCAGCTTTCCTGTCTCCCCACTGCTGAGCCCTCTTTCTCTAGCCCCACCTGCCCCATCACACCCACAGCGGGGGTTCCCTGATGTCCAGCGTAGGAGGGGCAGCTGGAAAGGCCAGAAGGTGTCCTGTGCCAATATCTTCTTACAGCGGGACCTCAAAGACTGGGGGCTCATTCGCCATCGCTGTTCAAGTCAGCACAGCCTCCAGGCCTCGGGCCTGGTTTCCGGTTTCCGCGCAGTCTCTCTACTCTCTTTCTAACCGCTTGTGTCTCTTGGTCTCTAGTCATGAGTGACTTTCTCTGGCCTTGTTTCGCCAGGAGGACTGTTGTCTCTTTCCATTTCCAAGCCCTGATGAGCCCTAAGAACCCAGGTCATATCCATCTTTTCTTTTTTTTTAAGAGTTATTTTATTTAATTGTATTTTTTTAAAAGATTTATTTATTTATTCATTTATTTTAATTTGATCAGAGAATGGTAGAGAGAAAGGAAGAGAGAGAGAAAGTGAGAAAGCAAGCCACCAGGTCCAGGACTCAAATTGTGGTCAGCCCCATGGAGTGTCCAGTGCCTTAACCACCACGCCACCTGCTGGTCCCAGGTCATATTCATCTTTTGACTACCAGATCCCTTGTTAGAAGACACCTCTTGCTCCAGGATTTGCATTCTCACAGCATGTCAGCTGTGAGTCTCTTCAGGCATCTACAATTCTTATATTATAATTTTCTGTGTTTTTTTTTTTAATTTATTTATATGGGGCCGTTGGAAAAGTCAGGACATATTTTTTCTGCTTTTCTATACAAAAACATGTCTCGATTTTTCCAACTACTGAATTCATATATTCAACCATTCTGTTATTGAACATTGAATACCTAGTCAATCAACAGTTCTTGATTCGAATTCTATGTAGGAAGAACTCATAGTCAGTTTCTGTATCTACCCAAGGACAAACATACTGCTAGGCCGGCCTTCGAAGGAAGGAAAACAGGTTGTAGGAAGGAGAGAGTCTTCCTGGGTGGCAAGTGAGGGAAGGACCAGGAGGGAGAGGACGGGGAGGTGGAACAGCACCCGCGAAGGCACAGAGGTGTGGATGGCCTGATCTCTTCCGTGATCCACGCAGAATACAGTTTTCCGGTGTTTGGAGAGTGGACTAGCAGGAAAGTACCCTTCATCTGATGGATGACAAATAACGGGAAATCCTAAGTGTACTCTGCCTAACAGACCTGATGTTTTGAGTGTCAAAAACATTGAAAGAAAAGTAAAATATTGTTCTTTTCATGTATGTGAGGCAAACACTCTGTTAAATCTTTTGTTAAAAGTTATAGGGGAGGTGCCAGCAGGTGGTGTGGTGGTTAAGGCGCTGGATCCCCACATGGCCTGTGGTTCAAGTGCCAGATCTGGTGACTTTCTCTCTCTCTCTCTCTCTCTCGAGCACACATGCTGTACAGCAAATTAAATAATAAATAATAATAATACACAAAATTAATACTTTAAGAGAAGTTACAGGGGATCCAAAACTCAGTCAGTGTCCAGCCCTTTGCTCAAGGAAAAGGAGGCCTTAGTGGGGAAAGGAAGGGTGGCCTTCCACATGGGTGGAAACTGGCTTAGCCAAGGAGGAAAGAGCCAACTTTGTTCCATTTTGATTTTGAGAAAAAAAGAGTGACAAGGAATGCTGGAAGAAAAGTCTGTAAGGGGAGGCCGTGGCTACTTTGCGAAAGGTCCTAGATTCCAGGCTGAGGACTGCACGCACGATCCTAGACCAGCGAAGGCCGTGGAGCAGGGAAATCACATAATGCATCCTGAAGCCATTTCTATCTCACTAATGGGGAAATGAGAGGACCAGCTATGATGTCAAGGTCTCCTACCAAACTGGCAGAATCGAAGCTTCGCTTTCCAGCATCCTGGGCAATTTTGGGGACCCCTCTTCTCTAATATACACCTGGATATGTTTTTAGAGCGACGTACATCTTGAAGTACACTTAGAGCTATGACCAGATTTTTCTTCCCTGAGAATCTTTCACAAAGTACTGCTGAATAATTTGTCTTATTATCTTTCATCTGGAGATCTTAAGAGGCCTTAATGACAACCAAGCTTCATTATTTCTGTTTGCGTGTGAAAACACTGACTCACAGAGGGCTTCAGCAATTTTCTCTTTCACCCTGGGAGCTGCTAGCAGGACCGCGAATGAAACTTAGGATGAAACTACTTCATAAACCATAAACTCCGTGCCCTTTATAGTAGTGGATTTTACAAAGAGAGTGACTCCTTTGTGTTGGGAGTTCATTCTTTTATCCTGTTATTAATCCTGGCTTCTGCAGGGCAGGAGCATCTTGCTACAACAATGCCAACTGAAGCTGTCTGGCGGCGCGAAGCATGATGGGAAACATCGTTACGTGTTTCACGGGTGACGGCTGAACCAAACACTTTGTTGTTCGCATCCATCCATTCGTGAATTCAAGGATTCATTCTATTAACATGCATCCGAGTCCCTATTACTCCGTCTGTAAAATGGGCATAGCAATGTTACCATTAGCAAAAGGCTGTCTCGAGAATTAAGAGAGTGTCTATAGAGTAGGCTGCCTTGCCAGAAGTAAGCCCTTAAAATATTAATTGTTATTAAACAAATAATTATAGAAACATTGAAAGGCAAAGAAGCGGTCTCTCTGCAGCCTTATCTCTGGTTGGAGAGGGTAAAGCTGCATGCGGAGGATGAATTCGTTCCTGGGGAAGAGGCAGCTCTCTCAAATGAAGAACCGAGCCTGAGCAGACACTTCAGGCACCCAAAGGAGGAGGCCTGTCCCCTCA